GTTTCACCAAGGCCCAGTGGCAGCGTTCGTCAGGCCCTCTTGCCTGAGCAAGAGCAGCAAGCCTGCCTGGGTCACAAGGACACACAACATACAGGATGGGTTAATGTGTTGCCTAGCAACAACCCTGCCTGAACAAGGCAAGAGCGCATGCCAACACCATCCCGTTTACCCTTGAAGCATGAACAATATGACTGGTACCTTTGTTCCTCACTCTCATCCTTCCATTTTCAACCTAAAATCCGAGTGCCTTCATGCTACCTCACAGTCACACCACCTCATTTCATGTCACACTCACTACCATCACAACACCTCATCCCATCTCACACTCCATCACCTCATCCCATCTCAGACTCCCCTCACCTCATCCCATCTCACACTCCCCTCACCTCATCCATTCCAGACTCCAATCACCTCATCCCATCTCACACTCCCATCACCTCATCCTATCTCACACTCCCATCATCTCATCCTATCTTACACTCCAGTCACCTCGTCCCACCCCAAATCTTCCCAGACTGCGTGAGCACAACCATCAAGCTGGCTGGACAAGGGACAGTGGGGGAAGTTAACAGGAGAACTAGCAATAGCAAGCCGACTGGAAAAAAAACAAAAACAAACGGGAAAATGGAAAAATGATGTAAAAAACGGCAATGAACAGGTTGGCAGCGCAAATGACAAACAAAATCGGATAGGAGTTATATGGCCACATCTTTCAGTCTCACAACGCCACCCCCCTCCTTCATGCTTGATTTCTCCTCATTTTTTTCCAACCCCACCCTGATGATAGTGGGAACATGGCAGTGGATGATGATAGTGGGAACATGGCAGTGGGATAATTTTAGTGGGAACATGGCATGGACCATTTATCTATTGACTCCCTCACATTCTCATGGCCATTCCAGCTTTCATTCTCATGGCCAGAAATAATTTCATTCTGCATTCATTTCACCTTCGGTGCTGTTGTTAACCCAATCATTTTGGTCAAGCTCTGACAATTGGCCTAGTTGATACTTCACTCATTGCTTCAAAATTTTCAGAGCCTTTTCATTAACACTTCTGCGACTGTGCTCAACTTGACCATTTATGTTCATTCTTGTCACTATGGTCTGGCATTGAATCGTTTGCTCCATGCCTGACAGTTGAAATTAAGTATTGAGCATGGTTTTTGTACAAATTCACCACGCTTGTTTCAAATTCCAATCAGATAGTTTGAGTCCAATCAGAACATGAAACATGGGAAGCCTAACTCAAGACTCTCAGTTTTCACACTCATGCCTTCATTCCATGGTCTCCATTCACCCCCATCCATACCAGAGCATGAAAAGAAGATGCATATATTAATATTTCCAAACTAGACATGGTTACTAAGTCTAAAGTGGCACCTGTTAATATTCCTTTCTCTCCATCCACCATTCATTCCATCTTTCCCACAACATCCTGCCAGGCAGGATGGAAAAAAGGGGTTGTACCCCTACCACCAGCATTCGACATCACCCCCACCAGCTTTACTTTACTTGCCATTGTGCCACTTATTCAAGGCTATGCTTGACCAAGCACTACTCACCCACCTCCTCATCCGCCTCGTCACTCTAGCCTTCCCATTTGCTGCCTTATTCGCTGTTGTCCCTTCCATTCTTACCTTTGCTGCACCATCATTATCAGAACTTGGCATTTGCCTTGACTTTTTGTCAGAGTTCTTAGCAGCAGCTGCAGCAGTAGCAGCGTCAACAGGGACAACAGCAGCTGAAGCCTTTCTCAGGTTGGAGAAACCAATCTTTTTTTCTGAGGTCTGGTATATGCTGGAGCTTATTTTCACTGAATCTTTTGCGTTGGCTTTTACAGCAGGAGTTTGCACTTATGCGCAGAACGTGCTGTTTGCACTGCTGGAGCTGAAGGTGCAGACCATCACGCTCCTGCTGCTCTTGTTAACATATTTCTTACTGGCAGCAGTTTTTTCAACCACAATCCAAGGCGATTTCTTGCCTGTGGAAGCGAGAAACTCGTCCTTTGACAGGAAGGACACGTTTCCTTCATTGCTGCATATGCTTTCAGGGTTAAGATACCGTTGGCGGAATTCCAGCAGATCCAACTCGCTCATATACGAAAATTCGTCTTCAGAATCCTCAGAAATTCGTGCCTTTTTGGCACTTGGAGCAGCGGCAGCAGCAACAGGCGTGGATCGCTTGCGTGCTGCATCGCTCCAGCTGAGAGAGGCGGAAGCGGAGGCAGCAGGAATGGACCCGTGGTCCTCTTCCCAGTAGAAGAGGTCGTCAGGGTCAGCCTTGCTGCAGGCAGCGAGGGTTTTCACGGCCATCAGCAGTCAAATTTCAAGAAAACCTCGAGGCTGGAGGAGAGGGGTCGCAAAGGGCTGTGAGTATACAACGATGTGATTCAACTGAAATGAAGTGGGTGTCAGAGTGTGTTTTGTTACTCATGGCTACGAAAGCAGTCCGTCCTGACAGGTTGCTGCTGAGCGGTTCGTTTACAAACGAGCCGCTCTAGTTGACGACGGAAAAGGGGGTTCCGTTGGCAACGGAAATTCCAGCTACGGGATTTCCAGGTACTTTACCGTAGCTAGGGTACCGCTTTGGTGCTGTCCGTTTGCCACGGAGTTGTCGATTTGGCGAATCCAATGGCATCTGAAGCAAACAAGTTAGCTTCCGAAGTTCCCGCAAGGGTCTACAGTTGACGACGTGGCAATTGATGTCGTGAACTATCCACGGTTGTTCAGTCGGGCCCACATAATTTGAAACAAGTGGCTCGAAATGCTTCCGTGGAGAGGTCTAGGCCTCCGAAGCATGAGGGTAAGATAGTCACACCTGGGCTTTGCGGTTCCACGTCATAGTTCCCGCGAATCTGACTCAGGTTAACCCTCTGACAGGGGGGAAACTGTCAAATGTAATTCTATGCTTGTAGGCTACAGTGAGTAGCACAATAGGGAGTACAGTTGTTAGGGTTGCGTATTTGTACTTCCACACTTCCTAGTTTCATCATTCCGTTGCATTCCTATTCTGAGATGGTATCACGAGTAGGTTAGATCCTCGCTCGGTCTTAGCTAGCCTCCGCGCCCTACGCGCCCTCCGTGCTCTCGCGCCCTCCGCGCCCTCCGCGTGCCTAGCCCGCGCCCTCCCGCGCTGTCAAGCCCGTCGCGCGCCCTTTTTAGACCACCGCGCGCCCTCCCTCACCGTTGCGCACCCTCCTTCGACCGTCGCGCGCCCTCCTTAGACCGTCGCGCGCCCTCCTTAGACCGTCGCGAGCCCTTCCCTCCGCCTGTCGCGCGCCCTCCTCCGTAAATCTTCCCGCACACCTGCGTGCACTTACCGCACACCTGCGTGCGCTCACCACACACATGCATCCGTGCACTTCCAGCACACCTGCGTGCACTTACCGCACACCGGCGTGCGCTCACCGCACACCTGCGTGCGTGCACTTACCGCACACCTGCGTGCCCTTACCGCCCACCTGTGTGCACTTACCGCACACCTGCGTGTGCTTACCGCATCCCTTTGTGCGCTTACTGCATCTCTCTCCCCTTTGTCAGAACATTATAGCTTATGCTGTTGTGTAGGCTATAGTGGGGTATCCCATAGGGGGTACAACCAATTAGGGTTTCATATTTGTACTCACTTCATTTCATAGTTCAATTCATTCTTGTTCTAATCTTCTCATGGTATCGAGCAGGTTCCCCCTTGGGAACTGTGCTTAGGGCCCACCACATCGATTTTTTTTTCCTGCCCGAAGCGCGCTCAGCCCGAGTCGCGCTCCGGGCCCTCACTTCGTCGAGCCGCCCCTCACGGCCTCCCTTGCGCCGCCCTTACTCGGCCCGTCGCCGCCCTTCGTGGCCCGTCGCCACCCTAAGCGGCCCGTCGCCGCCCTTGCGCAGCCCGTAACGGCTCGTCGCCGCCCTTCGCGGCGTCGCGTGCCGTCCTTACGGCACGCTGCCGACCTCCGCGGCCCCTCGTGCCGCCCTCACCTGCGGCCCTGCCACCTTCCAGCGGGCACGCCGCCCTTACCTGCGGCCCCGCCGCCCTCTGCTGCGGCCCCGCCACCTTACCTGCGGCCCCGCCACCTTACCTGCGGCCCCGCCCTTACCTGCGGCCCCGACGCCCTCTGCTGCGGCCCCGCCACCTTACCTGCGGCCCCACCACCTTACCTGCGGCCCCGCCACCTTACCTGCGGCCCCGCCGCCCTCTGCTGCGGCCCCCCCCCCCCCGCCTTACCTGCGGCCCCGCCACCCTATCTGCGGCCCCGCCACCCTACCTGCGGCCACGCCGCCCTTACCAGCGGCCCCGCCGCCCTTACCTGCGGCCCCGTCACCTGCTGCCCAGCCGCGCCGCCCTGCAGCAGCACAACCGAGCCGCCCAGCAGCCCAGCAGCCGAACAGCCGAGCCGCCGAGCCGCCGAGCCGCCCAGCAGCCGAGCCGCCCAGCAGCCGAGCCGCCCAGCAGCCGAGCCGCCCAGCGGCCGCGCCGCCCAGCAGCCGAGCCGCCCAGCAGCCGAGCCGCCCAGCAGCGGAGCCGCCGAGCCGCCCAGCAGCTAAGCCGCCGAGCCACCGCGCCGCCCTCCTTCTGGGCCGCCCGACCTGCCCAGTCCGGTGAGCACAGCGCCTTTTCACTGCACTGTCCTCACCCTACTGTTTGCGCTGCTAGTCGTCTAGGGTCATGGCTACCCCTAGTGTTCTCGCCTTTGACGCTGAGGGTCGGGCCATTGACTTTGAGGTCTGGGTAGATGACCTGCAGCTGTTCTTACAGTGCGATAGGGCAGACGGCCTCTCTCTCTTTGACCTCACCTCTGGCGCCTCCACTGCCCCTGCTACTGATGCTGACGCCACTGTTCGCTCCCAGTGGGCCACGCGCGACGCTGCTGCACGTCTTGCTGTGCGTCGCCACCTCCCTACCTCCGAGCGTGCGCACTTTAGTCAGTACAAGAGTGCTCAGACCTTGTACGACGCTGTAGTTGCGCGCTACTCCTCCCCTGCCACTGCTGCACTGAGCCGTCTCATGCTACCGTACCTCTTTCCTGACCTTGCTGCCTTTCCCACAGTTGCTGACCTCATTACGCACCTCCGCACTAGTGACACTCGCTACCGCGCTGCACTCCCTCCTGACTTCTGCGCCAGGAACCCCCCCCCCATGTACATCACTCTTTACTACATAGTCACTCGCCTTCCTGACTCCCTTCGCGTAGTCAGGGACCACTTTCTCTCTGTCTGTCCCACCACTCTCACTGTTGTCCTCCTCGAGAAGTCCCTCCTAGCGGCCGAGAAGAGCATAGTCGCTGTAGGGGCCTCTCGTGGTGACCCGCGCACCCCCATCTTTGAGGGGTGTTCCCCCTCCCCCCTTCTGCCCTCTGTTGCCTCTGCTGCTGCGGCCGACCTCCTTGTTCTTGAGTCGGTCGGTGCGGCGTCTGCCCCTAGCGGGAGACGCCGCTCTGGCAAGGGCAAGGGGGGCAAGGGCGCTGGAGGAGCGAGCGGGGGCGGTGGAGGTGGAGGTGGCGGCAGTTGGGGGAGTGGGGGTGGCGGTGGGAGTGGAGGTGGGGGTGGAGGGGTCGGTGGCGGCAGTGGAGGTGGAGGTGGCGGCGGCGGTGGCGGTGGGAGCGGAGGTGGCGGAGGTGGCGGTGGTGGAGGCGGCGGCGGAGGCGGAGGCGGCGGCAGTAGCGGAGGCAGTGGAGGCGTCGGAGGCGGCGGGGGTGGCGGTGGTGCTGGTCGCGGGTCTTCGCAGAGGAGTGGCTCCGGTGGTGGCTCGCGCCAGCAGCAGCAGCGTGGTCGTGACACCCTGTCCCCTCAGCAGCTTCGTGAGTGGTACACTGCGCGTCAGCGGGGTGGGGGTTTTGGTCCGTGCTCCTACGTTTTGCGCACTGGCGACCGTGCTGGTGAGCAGTGTGGGGGTGCCCACCCCACCTAGCGCTGCTTTGGCCGCCTGACGGACGCGTGGCGTCACCAGTTCCCGGAGGCCTCCGAGATCCCTCGCTGGGGCGAGCTGTCTAGGGCGGGTGTTGCCATCTATGATCTTGACTTTGATGCTATTCTCTCTGCCATGTATGCTGTGTCTATTAGTGATGAGGGTGACTGTTACCGGTGTTTCCCGCCCGATCCGGGCATTGAGACTGCTGCTCTAGGTCCTGGTGAGGCTGCTGCCCTAGGTGCTTGCGACGCTGCTGCTCTAGGTGCTCGTGTGTCTGCGTCCTCAGGTACTGGTGAGTCTGCGCTCTCAGGTACTACGTCGGCTTCGGCCTCCCTCACCTTCACCCTTGACTCTGGGGCGTCTCGCTCCTTCTTTCGGGACCGCACCACACTCACACCGCTGAGTCGACCGGTTGCAGTGTCTCTGGCTGACCCCTCTGGGGGTCCTGTCCTGTCTCGCTTCTCCACAGTCCTCCCGTGTCCGGCGGCTCCCTCTGGCACCCTGTCTGGTCTCTACCTCCCCTCGTTCTCTACGAACCTGGTGAGTGGTGCTGACCTACAGGATGCGGGTGTCCACCAGTTCACTCCTGCACGTCAGAGAGTGACCCACTGTACAGAGGCTGGCACAGGCCGACACCTGGCTACGTTCACCCGTCAGCCGGGGTCGAGCCTGTACACTCTGACCACTGCGTCTCCTCCAGTTGCTGAGTCTGGTAGGGTAGTTACGTCGGGTCAGGTGTTTGCTGCGGCGTCCAGGTCTGGTCCTGAGTCTGCCCCCTGTTCGTGTCGTCTCCTGTCTCACGAGACTCTCCTCTGGCACCACCGCCTGGGCCACCCCTCTCTGCTTCGGCTCAGAGGTATGGCCTCCCGTCTTCTTGTGTCCGGTCTCCCCCGGTCCCTCCCTCCCCTTCCTCAGGGCCCTGGCCCTGCCTGTGTCCCCTGTGTCGAGGGGCGCCAGCGTGCTGCCCCTCACTCCTCCCAGTTTCCTCCGACAGAGGCCCCGTTGCAGACACTTCACATGGACGTGTGGGGCCCAGCCCGCGTCCGTGGACAGGGTCACGAGCGCTACTTCCTGCTCGTTGTTGACGACTACTCGCGTTACACCACAGTCTTCCCCTTGCGCAGCAAGGGTGATGTCACTGAGGTGCTGATCGACTGGATCCGCGCAGCTCGTCTCCAACTCAGGCAGAGCTTCGACTCGGACTTTCCTGTTCTGCGTCTGCACTCGGACAGAGGCGGAGAGTTCTCCTCTGGCCTTCTGCGTGCCTACTGTCGTGCACGGGGCATCCGTCAGACCTTCACGCTTCCGGACTCACCGCAGCAAAATGGGATTGCTGAGCGCCGCATTGGCATGGTCATGGACGTCGCTCGTACGTCTATGATGCATGCGGCTGCCCCCCATTTTCTGTGGCCGTTTGCGGTGAGGTACGCGGCGCATCAGATCAACCTCCACCCCAGGGTCTCCAGGCCGGAGACCTCCCTAGCCTTGCTGTGGACGGGGAAGGTTGGCGATGCGTCGGCGTTCCGGGTCTGGGGATCTCGGGCGTTTGTCCGCGACCTGTCTGCGGACAAACTATCCCCTCGTGCTGCTCCTTGCGTCTTCCTGGGGTTCCCCCCTGACGCGCCTGGGTGGCAGTTTTACCACCCCACCTCTCGCCGTGTTCTGTCCTCCCAGGACGTCACGTTTGACGAGTCGGTCCCCTACTACCGCCTCTTCCCCTACCGCACTCTGTCCCTCCCCCCACCCCCACTCTTCCTGGTACCAGGTCCCCCCCAGGTAGACCCCCTCCCCCCTCAGGGTCCTGCCCCTTCAGGTGTGTCCCAGGTAGACGCAGTCGAGCCTGTCGAGGTCACTGGTGACTCTGGTGCTGCTGAGGGTGCTGAGGCTGGGGGTGCTGTACCTGGGGGTGCGGAGCCTAGGGGTGCTGGGCCTGGGGGTGCTACGTCTGGGGGTGCTGAGCCTAGGGGTGCTGAGCCTAGGGGTGCTGAGCCTGGGGGTGCGGAGCCTGGGGGTGCTGAGCCTGGGGGTGCTGAGCCTGGGGGTGCTGAGCCTAGGGGCGCTGAGCCTGGGGGTGCTGAGCCTAGGGGTGCTACGCCTGGGGGTGCTGAGCCTGGAGGTGCTCCGCCTGGAGGTTCTCCGAATGCTTCGTCTCGCCGGGAGCCACTTTCTCCACAGGAGCTCCGTGAGTGGTTTGCCCGGCGCTGGAGGCGTGCTGCTGGTATTGGAGGTCCTTCGGCTGCTGAGGGTGCTGCGGTCGCGGGTCCCGGAGGTGCTCGTCCTGGGTGCACTGGAGCTGGTACTGCTGAGGGTGTTGGCGCTGAGACTACCGCTGGCAGTCCTACTGGGGGTGCTTCTGGTGCTGCTGGAGGTTCTGGAGCTACTGGTGGTGCTGCTGGAGCGGGTGCTCCTGCTGAGGGTTCTGGTGCTGTCCCTGCTGCTTCTAGCGTCGCCGCGCGGCCTCGACCGTACTTCGTTCCACTCCTGCAGCAGGTTCTTGGTCTTCCACCTTCTACTGGTCCTCCTCCTCCCTTAGAGTGTCCACAGCCTGTCTCGTCCCAGCTACAGTTGCAGCCTACCTCCCCTTTGCCTGCTCCTTCTCCCTACACTGGTCCTACTGGAGGTCTGGCTGAGCGTCGTGAGCCTGCGTCTCGCCCTGCGTCGCCTGTCCGTGCTGCTCGCACTAGTGGTCGCGGTTCGCGTCAGCGTCCTCCTCCTGTCCCTGGCACGCACCGGATGTCTCTGCGTCCGTCCACTGCTCCTCTGCGTGCCCCTTTGCCTTCTCCTCCTGAGTCCTCTCTTCCTGCTCTTGCCGACCCGGAGTCGGACTCTCTTCGTGCTGCCAGTCCTACTGTCACGCGTCTCCTTGCTACTGTTGTCACTGACCCCTCTTTCGAGTCTACTGCTGCGTCTGCTCTCGTTACTGAGCTCGTCGACTTTGCTGCTCGCTGTCGCTTAGACTACGCTGCCAGTCTTGTCGCTGAGTCTGAGTCTGTCTGTCCTCCGTCCGTCGGGGGTGAGTGTGCCCTTGGCACGAACGTTCTTGAGGACAGGCAGGAGGAGTTCCAGTGTCTGGCAGCTGCCTCACCTCATCTCGTGTCCGTACTGCTTACCCCTGAGGGAGACCCGGATGCACTTGACATCCCGACTCCGCGCTCTTACGCGGAGGCGATAGAGGGTCCCTACTCCTCTCAGTGGCAGGCAGCTATGGATGCAGAGATGGCTTCCTGGAAGTCCACAGGCACCTACGTTGACGCTGTCCCCCCTCCTGGGGCGAACATCGTCAGTGGCATGTGGATCTTCAGGGTGAAGCGGCCGCCGGGTTCTCCGCCTGTCTTCAAGGCGCGTTACGTGGCTCGTGGCTTCAGTCAGCGGCAGGGAGTTGACTACTTTCAGACCTTCTCCCCCACCCCGAAGATGACCACTCTTCGGGTACTGCTGCACGTTGCTGCTCACCGTGACTACGAGCTGCACTCTCTTGACTTCAGCACAGCTTTCTTGCAGGGCAGCCTGCACGAGGAGATCTGGCTGCGTCGCCCACCTGGCTTCACTGGGTCTTTCCCTCCTGGTACCCAGTGGAGTCTCCGGCGTCCAGTCTACGGTCTCCGCCAGGCGCCACGTGAGTGGCACGACACACTGAGGACTACGCTTGCGGCTCTTGGGTTTGCTCCTTCTACTGCCGACCCGTCGCTGTTTCTACGCACCGACACCTCTCTGCCGCCGTTCTACATCCTCGTGTACGTCGACGACTTGGTCTTTGCCACAGCTGACACTGCTGGACTCGCCTACGTGAAGTCCGAGCTGCAGAAGAGACACACGTGCACAGACCTGGGTGAACTGCGCAGCTACCTTGGCTTGCAGATCACCCGGGACAGAGCACGCCGCACCATTACCCTGACTCAGTCACACATGGTGCAGCAGGTCCTTCAGCGCTTCGGCTTCACGTACTCCTCGCCTCAGGCCACTCCTCTGTCTACTCGCCACTCGCTCTCAGCTCTGCCTTCGGATGAGTCCGTAGAGTCGAGTGGCCCGTACCCAGAGCTTGTTGGCTGCCTCATGTACCTGATGACCTGCACACGACCTGACCTTGCATACCCTCTTAGCATTCTTGCACGCTATGTTGCTCCTGGGAGACACAGACCAGAGCACATGGCTGCAGCGAAGAGGGTGTTGCGCTACTTGTGCAGTACGTCGGGCATGGGGCTAGTGCTTGGAGGGCGGAGTCCAGTGGTCCTCACTGGGCACGCGGACGCTTCTTGGGCTGACGACCAGGCTACGCAGCGGTCGTCACAGGGTTACACCTTCAGCCTTGGTTCCGGCTCTGTTTCGTGGCGGGCTACTCGCTCGTCTTCTGTTCTTGGCTCGAGTTGTGAGGCTGAGATCTACGCCGGGGCCATGGCTGCACAGGAGCTTCGCTGGCTCACCTACCTGCTGACCGACCTTGGAGAGCCGCCTCGTTCTCCTCCAGTCCTGTACGTAGACAACAAGGCCATGCTGGCCTTGTGTCGAGAGCAGCGACTGGAGCACAGAACAAAGCACATTGCTCTCCGCTACTTCCTTGCTCGTGAGCTACAGCAACGTGGACAGTTGCGGCTTGCGTACGTGGCCTCTGAGGCCAACACTGCTGATGTCTTCACCAAGGCACTTCCGCCTTGTGATCATCAGCGCTTCTGCACTCAGCTGGGTCTTGTGCCCGTCTTGCCTCACTTGCTCTCCTCTTGACCTTGCTTGTACTCTCACATATATATATACCTGCTCTTGCTTGTCTAGCTTTATATATGTGTGTGTACTCTTGCATGTGAACTGGCCGTGTGGCCTTGACCCTGTGCTCGGACTGTGTGGTGACTTTGTGATCCACCCTGAGCTTACTTTGCTTTACTTTGCTTGACTGGTCTTGTGACCCCTTGTTCTCCCCCACTTTGCCTATGGGGGTGTGTCAGAACATTATAGCTTATGCTGTTGTGTAGGCTATAGTGGGGTATCCCATAGGGGGTACAACCAATTAGGGTTTCATATTTGTACTCACTTCATTTCATAGTTCAATTCATTCTTGTTCTAATCTTCTCACCCTTCACCTGTGCCCCGGTCCCACGCCATTCCTACTGCACTTGACTCCCGGCTCAGCGGCTGACAGCCGCTCTTCCCTCCGGTAGCGCCACCTAGGTTCGGTTAGAGCCCCGCCCCACGACTATTTTCTCGTCGACTGTCTCTCGTCGGTTTCCCCGCTGGCGTCCCTAGCCCTCCGTAGTTTTCCTCCTCGTTCTTAGCTCCGCCTCCGCCGTGCTCCAGTCACCACTAGCATGGGCTCCGCTATGGAGGCCCGTCGCCTCCGTTTCGATGCTGAGGGACGCCCGATCGAGTTCGGTACCTGGCAGCGCCAGACCACACGTTTCCTCACCAGCCAGCGACAGGACGGCGCCACTCTGTGGGCTCACGCGTCTGGTGCCCTACAGGCCCAGGTCACTAGGTCCGTCCCCCGCCGCCCTGCCGACCACCCCGGAGCCGACCCCTACGGCCCAGGCGGAGTACGACCGTCGGGTCCTGGCCAGGAACGTGTGGCTCTCGCGTGACGCTGCCGCGGCTCTCACACTGTTGGAGCTTCTCCCCCCGACTGAGGCCGCCCACTTTGACCAGGTGGAGACAGCCCAGGGGGTGTGGGATGCTATTGTTGCCCGCTACTCCACCCCCTCCTCTGCCTCCCTCAGTCGCCTCCTCATGCCGTTTGTGTTTCCCGACCTAGGCTCGTTTGCGACTTTTTCCGACCTAGTGACTCACCTCCGCTCGCTTGATGCCGGTTTCCGTGCTGCCTGTACCGACGCACAGCTCCTTGTTGCTCCCCCCCCCATGTGGCTCACTGTGCACTAGTTAGTCACCCGCCTCCCTGACCGCCTTGCCACTGCCCGCGACGCGCTTCTTCAGAAGCACCCCACTGAGCTCACTATAGACCTCCTTCAGACTGCTCTCGGGACCATCGAGAGCAGCCTCCTCACCGTTGCCTCCGCCACTGATGCGGTGGCCCCCCGTCTCTTTGCGGGGTGTGCCGCCCCTCAGCTTCCCACTTTCACCTCTACCCGCGCTTCTGCTGCTGTGTCGGTCTCTGAGGACACCGCTGCCGTTTCTGCCGCAGACTGGCAGAAACGGGGCAAGAGTGGCAAGAAGGGCGGGAAGGGGGGAGGTGGGGGTGGTGGAGGTGGCGGTGGAGGTGGCGGTGGAGGTGGGAGCGGCGGTGGTGGCGGAGGCGGCGGCGGCGGCGGCGGTGGTGCGCCAGGGGGAGGGGGCCTTGGAGGAGGTGCAGGACAAACAGGCCCACCCACAGGTGGTGGCCCGACCGGTGGGGGCGTTGCCCCCCAGCAGCAGCAGCCATAGCAGCACCAGCCACATCAGGGACAGCAGCAGCAGCAGGCACCGCAGCAGTTCCAGCAGTGGGGGCCCCCGCTGCAGTGGGGTCTGCAGCAGCACTGGGGTCCCCCGCCGCAGTGGGGTCCGGGGGGCCCTGGGAGCACCGGCCGCAGCAGCAGCTCTTCCAGCTGGGCCCCTCGCCCCCCTCGCCGTGACGCTGGCCCCTGCACCCACTGGTGCCTCACCGGGCCGGGCAGCCCCTGTCTTTGTGGTCGCGACGACCACTCTGCCGCGCGGTGCTTCCGCCGCCTCGACGACCTCTGCCGGGCTCGTTGGGGCCCTCTGGCGGCCACGCCTCGCTGGTCTCGTCTGTTAGCCCGTAAGATTGATGTCTTTGATCTGTCCATAGACGATGCGCGTCAGCATGCTTTGTATGTTGATGCTGACTTTAGTGCTGATGGGTCTGTGTGCTCGCGTGTTCGTAGTTTAGCCTGCTTGCCTCCTGCTAGTGTAGCCTTGTGCATGTCTAGCTTAGGTGCTTGTGTTGCTCCTCTAGGTGCTTGTGTAGCGACTGGGTCAGGTGACCCTCCGGCTGAGGCCTCTCTGTCGTTCACGCTGGACTCGGGCGTGTCTCAGTGTTTCTTCCGCGACCACACGACCCTTACGCCACTCCTCACACCTGTGTCGGTGGCTCTGGCTGATCCTACCTCTGGACCAGCCGTTGCGCGTAGCTCCACCACCCTCCCGTGCCCTGTGGTCCCCTCTGGTGTCCTGCGCGGCCTCCACATCCCCTCGTTCACTCGGAACTTGGTGGGTGTTGGATACCTCCAGGACAGGGGGATCACGGTTACCTTCGTGGGGGGTGGGCGGACTGCAGTCTGTACTGACGCCACCACAGGTGCTGTTCTGGCCACTTTCACCAAGGAGCCCCGCTCCGATCTCTACGTTCTCCACACCGAGCGCTCCCCGGTCGTGTCTTCCCCTCAGGTCGTTGCGTCCCCTCTGGCCCAGGTCCCCAGTCCAGTTGCTGTGTCTAGCCAGGTAGTCGTGTCCAGTCCGGTCGCTGTGTCCAGTCCAGACGCTGCGTCTTGCTCCTGTCGCTCTCTCGCCCACCGCACAGTCCTGTGGCACCACCGCCTTGGCCACCCGTCGATCCCTTGCCTTCGTGGCATGCTCAGTCAGGGACTTGTCACAGGTCTCCCACGCACCTTCCCGTCGCTCCCTCCCTCGCTTGCCCCTCCTTGCTCTCCGTGCGTCGCCGGTCGCTTACGCGCCACTCCCCACTCCTCCTCCCTTCGTCCGGCCACCGCTCCCTTCGAGACTCTCCACTTGGACGTCTGGGGCCCTGCCCCAACGCAGGGGTCTGGGAGAGAGCGTTACTTTCTGGTGGTCGTCGACGACTACTCCAGGTACACCACAGTGTTCCCTCTTGCGAAGAAGTCCGAGGTGACTGCTACGCTGATCAGGTGGCTTCTAGCCACTAAGGGCACTCGTGGTCGTCGAGTCAGTTGTCTTCACTCCGACCGTGGGGGCGAGTTTCGCTCCGGCATTCTCGGCGGATTCTGCGGCAAACAGGGCATCACCCAGTCCTGGACGCTGCCAGAGTCCCCACAGTAGAACGGGGTTGCTGAGCGCCGCATAGGCTTGGTCATGGACATCGCCCGCATGTCCATGATCCATGCCCGTGCGCCCCATTTTCTGTGGCCTCACGCGGTTCGCTACGCCGCACACCAGCTGAACCTCCAGCCGCGTGTCTCGCGGCCCGAGGCTTCCCCGACCAGTCTTTGGACTGGTTCCCCTGGTGTTGGGTCAGCCTTTCGAGTCTGGGGCTGCCTTGCACTTGTTCGCGACACCTCCGCGGACAAGCTCTCGGCACGCGCCGTCCCCTGTGTCTTCCTTGGTTTCCCAGTGGACTCTGCCGACTGGTCCTTTTACCACCCGCCCCTCCACCAGTTCCTAGACTCCCGTGACGTCCGGTTTGACGAGTCTGTGTCCTACTACACCCGGTACCCCTGTCGAGGTCTCCCGGTACCCCCTCCCCCCCTGTTCCTAGCACCCTCTCCTCCTCTTGCTCCTGCTCCTCCGGTACCCCCGCCCCCCCCTGGTCCTGCCCCGTCTGGTGTGTCCCACGCTACCCCTCTACCCTCGGTCGCGCGTCAGATAGCGTCTCCCTCCCCGCAGTCCTCCTCACAGTCCCCTCAGCAGCCTTCGGCACTTCCGCGACAGGTTACTGTGGACTCGGTTGGTGTTGGAGCTGGAGGTGCAGCCGCTGGCGGTGCTCGGTCTGGGGGTGCTCGGTCGCGGGGTGCTGGAGCTGGAGGTGCTAGCGCAGGTGGCGCTGGCTCTGGGGGTGCTGGAGCTGGAGGTGCTGGAGCTGGAGGTGCTGGCACTGGAGGTGCTAGTTCTGGGGGTGCTGGAGTTGGCGGTGCTGGCACTGGCGGTGCTGGTTCTGGGGGTGCTGGAGTTGGAGGTCCTGGCACTAGAGGTGCTGGTTCTGGGGGTGCTGAGTCTGAGGAGACTGACGCTGGAGACCCTGGTTCTGCGGAGTCCACTCCGCCTCCCCACCGCCACGACACGCGTCTCCAGGCTGCCCGTCGGCGTGAGCGTGAGGAGCAGGAGCGGTTGGAGAGGGAGCGGCAGGAGCTGCGGGTGCTGGACCTTCTGGAGCAGCAGCGGCAGCAGCAGCAGCCGCAGCTTCCTCTGGAGCGGCAGTTGTTCCCACCTGTGAGTGGCCTGCGGGTCCTTGGCCTTTCCTCCTCTCCTCCTGTCCGCTCCCAGTCTCCTCCTATGTTTGTTCCACCGTTGCCTCCTCCTGACGACCGTCCGGCGGTCTGTTCTTCTCCTCCTCCTCGGTCTCCTCCTCACTCTGTCCGTCACGACTTGATCACTCGTTGTCCTCGGCGTGCTCGTCACTCGTCCCCTGTTACTGATGCCCTCCTTTGTTCGTCCCGTCGTCGTTCTCCTTCTCCTGTGTCCGTTCTCCTGTCTTCTCCTCCGTCCTCTCTCCCAGCCCTCCCCACTCCTATAACTGACTACTACCGCACTGTTCGTCCTGTTGCCGCACGTGTCCTCGCCACTCTTGTCACTGACTCTCGTTTCCCTCCGTCGTCTGCCTCGGCTCTTACTGCCGCTATCGCTGAGTTTGCTGCCGCCAGCCGCCTTGACTACGCCACACGGGTGGTGCCAGCTCCTCCCTACCGTCCTCTGTCCGTCGGGGGTGGGTTTGCTCTTGGCTGTGACGTCCTAGAGGACAGAGAGTCTGAGCTGGAGTACTGGGCAGCCGCTTCTCCCTCTGTGTGTGCCATGCTGCTCTCCCCTGAGGGAGACCCCGACGCCCTTGACATACCGACTCCTCGCACTTACTGCGAGGCATTGTCAGGGGC